TATGAGAAGTCATTTTATGTCAAATATTTATGTGTAAATGAATGATTTTTTAAATTATATACACGTGCATTTAATAGAAATGAACATATTTAATGATGATATTCACAATGCTCAATGTAAGCACAATGCATGCTCTTGTAGTTTTTACTTCGAAAAAGGAAGTTATTTTACCACCAAATCTATACTTGAGAAGGTAAGTGATTTTACCATCATTTTTTGCATTTAAATGAATTTTTTTATGATTTATATACACATGAAATAAATGAAAACACATACATTTAAAGAATGGCACACACAACGCACGGATGAGGAGTTTTTTTTTTTTTTTCAGTAAGACCTTTTTTTCGAATTACTATATATTCCCCGACGATTGGAACTTTAGTCATTCATTTCATCCCTGCATTATCATAGTGATGTATAGTCACTTCAAAATACTTTTTGTATTTATTTTGAGTAGAGTATCATATGAAGATAGTTCAAAACATTAGCATGTTCGCTGGTCCACGTAATTTGGAATGCTCCTATTGCAAGACGTAGTCATTGTATGTTGGTAGACGAGTACTCACAAGGGACATTATCGTCGTAAAGAAAACGAGTCAAACTCGTGGCTCGACCGAATTCGTGTTCACACATTTCTCATTTGCACATTTCTACTTTTCATATTTGAGTTCGGTAAATTAAAATTTTGTCAATTTATGCACGTAAAAGATTATTTATTCAAATATGATTTATTCACCAAAAAGTTTCGATCATTTTTTGCCATTCACAAGCTTTCGTGCATTTTGACAGTATTGAAATTTTACTTTGTTAAGACGAAATTCGATGTTGATTGTTGGTTTTTGGCTATTTCAGATTTGACGGAAAACTTGATATTTATGTCGCATGGTGGAGTGTTTCAAAATGTAGACAACAAATGAAAGTAGAGTGCCACCACAACAACATTAGTCAAAGTTAGATCCAATATACTATGGAAGTTATTCGCAAATTGAGAACATTGGACATGGACGATTGTTGGTTTGCAATGAAGTTGAAGTTCAAAGTCCCATCGATGAATCTTTCCAATGTGCCCTACTTGATGATGAGGACCTTTGGTATATGCCAATCCACAAGGAAACTACTCTTTGGGTGGTTTGTTGTTCTGAGAGACATTTCATCAACATCCCAATGGTTTCATATTGACCCCAGATCGACATTTGTTTCTCCCATTTTAATAATATATGAGGACCTCAAATTTGAGGTGATTTATAATATTTTCACAGATCACAGTGTTAAAGAACCAAAACTTAGTATCTAGACAATTGTAGTTCCTTAAAATCAAGATTAGTGCCAGCTTTCGAATAATGAGTATTAGTTCAGCAATCATTATTAGAGCAAATTAACAGATAGACACAAAAAACACAAAATTAAAACACCTGTCTGGCAACAACTTGCTGAAGATAACGATCTGTATATAATCCGTAAGGCAAGGGAGGACCAACCAAGTACTCCATCAATTTGAGTGAAAAATCCTCTGTAGGGCTCATCTCCGATTTTTCCCTTTTTGCAAGCCATTTTAAACACGTGTATTCAACTTAATACAGCTGGACGCAATAAAAATAGACCTAACTATGGATTCAATGCCTTTTCTATCAATCTCTCTCCTTGTGTTCTTAAAAAGGCAAGCAGGTAGGATGTCTGTATGTTTGAATTGTAAGTTAGGAACTTCTGAAAGGATTAGCCAAGGAAAAAGCGGATGTTGTGCCCATACATCTCCACCAATCAAAGGAGAAAACTCACAAATTTTACTCTTCACGAATGATTTCGGCCGCACTGTGATTCTCACTCTTTTTTGCTGGCGGAAGATCCATAGAGTGAATCTAGAACTGCACTTGAGGGTTGGCTAGATATTTGAATATCCTCGACTTAGGCTTTTGACTGAGCTATAACAATTTTTATAAAATTACAAATGCTATTTAAGCCAAACATGACATTGGGCTATAACCCAATTCTTCAGCACTATGGTCTGCCCCTGAATATGGTAGATGTAGAAGGTTAGACTTTAAGGCTAAATTACAAACGCTCATACCTTTTCTTTCTAATTTCTATTGAAGTAGAGGACAACGAAAGAGACGAATTCATAGTCAAGGCATATACAACAATTTTAAGATGGAATTCTATAGTCCCCCATAGATAATAATTTTTTTACCAAATCAAGCATGACCCATTTCATCTTTTAAATCCAGTTTCCCCTTATTAGAAATGACACGTGCTAGTATGAATAAAATAAACTGTTTCAATTGCAAGATGTACCAGCATCATTTATTGTCTATGAGGTAGAACCTAAGTCAACAATAAAGGATTGGTTATTGATGTAATTGAAAACTAGAGCAGCAAAAGAATAAAGAAATTTGTTAACTTTAACAGAATAATCAAATAGATACCAGTAATCAATAGAAAAATAATTTGGTTTTCCACAAATTTAAGAAGTCATTTTAACATCAAATCTATACTAGGCAAGTGATGTTACCACTTACCATCATTAATTACATGTAAAAGAATGGTTTTTTGCTAAAATTTATATACACTTGCATTTAATGCACACACATATATTTAAAGAGTGGCATGCTTGATGCACAGTGCAGGCACAGCACACGCACATGGAGTCTGCAGGAAGAACTGACAATGATATCAAAAATTTTTGGAGCAGCCGAAAGAAGAGGCCGGCAAGGAGTCTGCAGATGACTCCATGATCGTCCAGCAAACAAGTCGAGGCCTCGGGTGTTCATGCTCCCTCTTTCGAGGTAAGAAGTTTATTCAGTTTCTTGAGTAGTACTTGCCCCTAATCTGTCAAGGGACTTGTGCACATTGGTCTAGGGGTATTTGACTCCTTCAAAGACAGAAGACAACTGATTCGTGATTTTCTATATTACACACACTTTCATATCATTGAGTGCCTTTTATGGGACACGAGTACTGATAATCAATGGAACCATTTACCAGTAACTTCAGAATTAACATTTTCAATTTTCAGGCACTTAAGTTCAATTCAGGAAAACATATAGAGGATATGTATGAACGAGATATCAAACAACGAGAAGGAAATAAATTGACAGATTTGGTGTATCCAACCTCGCTTAATTTTGAAGAGAGCCTGTATCAGCTCGAATTCGACCCTAATGACATGAAACTATACAATGCATTGCAATCATCTTTCCCGGAAAGCTTCCACTATATGGAAAGAGGTGTCAGGAGCACACCCTCTTCTATAACGTCTCCACCCGGTGTCACTGCAAGAAGAAGAAGTCTGGGTTGAAGAGGACAATTAGAGTCCCCAATTAGCTCTAAAATTGTGCATATTCCAGTGGATGAGGACTCGTGGAGGAAGTATGGTCAGATGCGAATCAACGTCTCACTTATTGGGGTTATTACAAGTGCAGTACGTGAGGGGATGCCTGGCAAGAAAAGCCCCGTGGAGAGGGCTACATATGATACTTCGATGATGTTGATTGTGTCGTATGTATGGGAGCACAGGCATATGCAAGATGCAATGCGGAAGAACACAACTGTGGGGGTGGTGGTCAATTTCTTGTGTTCGAATTGATCTGAGAAGTGATCAAAAAAAGAAAAAATTGAAATTTAGAAAAAAAAAATTTGGGGCTTTTTGTAAGTTCTAGGTATTGAAGGGGAAATTAGTAAAGGAACAATGAGAACACGAATAACTAGATTTCGAGTTTTCTTGTAAAATTGGTTAGGATAGAGGACCATAATAGGTTGTTAGAAATATGTTAAGTTTTTGATGATATTTTAGTTTAATGGTTGTTTTAAAAAAAAAAACTATTTATTAGCATTAGTTGAATGTCAATGAGTGATTTTTTGATGTACATATGCATTTAACGTACACACACATATATAGAGAGTCACGCGCGACGCACGACACACCCATAGGGAGTTTTACTTCGGTAAGTACTGGTCCACTAAAAAACTGATCTAGTGTCTTTAAATAAGAATAGTCCCACAAAAAAAGCAAGATATAAGATCTGACTGGGCTAAAAAGAGAAAGCAATTAAAACAATTAACAATGACAGAAAGAATAAAGATGGAATATAATCATTCTTCAATGATTAGCCAGAAAATA